TGGCCTAATAATAAAATCTCAAATTTGGTAAAGCCAAACCACCAAGTGACTTAGGTCTCTGTAAGTATAGTTTTCTCAAACTGGGGACCTTCCTGTTCCAGATAAATTTTAGAATTAGAGAATTTATTTTGCGGAAGAAAGAATGCGGTAGGAAAAGTGGTATGCATTGAAACAAATAAGAGAATCGTGGGAGAACATTCATTTTTATAGTATTGACTTGTGCACTCATGGATAGGTTAAGCAAAGACCAACGCTCAAAGTCTTCCTGTATTCGGTTCAGAAAGGGAGCAAATTTTGCTTTGTAGAGATCATCCAACTTGTTTGTGACTTGGACACCAAGATATCTGAAACTATTAGGTGTGATTTTAAAGAGAAAATTATGTAAAGGGTAATTCTTGGTGGATGAGTTTATGGGGAATATTTCACTTTTATTTAAGTTCAGTTTATAACCAAATATTTTCCCAAATGTTTTAAGTGTGGTAAACACAGGCAGCACTGAAACAGGCAAGTTAAACACATATAAAAGGAGGTCATCTGCAAAAAGAGAGACCTTGAGCACTATGCCGTTTCTAAGTACGCCCGTGATCTGAGGATTGGATTGAAGGGCTATTGAGAGAGGCTTGACAGCAATTGCAAATAATAAAGGACTTAGAGGGCAGCCCTGCCTTGTAGAGCAGAAAAGGTGAAAATAATCTGATCGAATCTCATTTGTTCTAACTGAGGCCATGTCCACCATTGTTTCTGCAGGATATATTTTTGTACATTTTGTTGTTCACCACCCTAATTGGGGTCATACAGCTACTGTAGGTATGTGTCTGTAATGTTTTGCCTTGTGTTGTATACAATAAGAAGATTATTGTCTGATTTTTAAGGCACAGAAGTGATTTTACTACTTTAATTTAAAAATTAAGTATTGTGCAGCAAAATGCTGACAAAATGTGGTCTGGCTTCAAGTTTTAACTAACTGATACATTGGTGAATTTAATCTGACATAGATTTAGCAGGTGGTGCTGTAAACAATAATGAGCTACAAAGGTCTGTTTGGAGCTATCCACATGTTGGGTTTTGCCAGCTCAAGTCATAGCAAATACAGATGGTTGAAGCCGCTGGATTCAGCCGACTCCGACTCTGTCCTCCTGCCTGTTAGATGTTTGTTCCAGACTGTGGATACACGGCATTTCCTGAAGATTAAGTCATAATAATGAGACTTTCTCATTATTACTTAGACACTATCTCATAATAATGATAATAATTTCTTTTTTAACAACATTTTATATATATTAAGCAAAATCATACATTTATTTTGTAAATAGTTTGTTACATTAAGAATTATAGAATTGTTTGAATTAATTGCTGCATTGAATTAATACTTAAACTGCCATGTATACGTTCGTACAAACACACTGATGATGGGTGGTTAGACCAAAGCATATATTCCCATATCATTATGGGATGTAGAATGGGACATGTGTCTACAGCTGTGGTTCCTCTGAAAACACACGTTTTTTTAAATCATTGAACATCACTGAACACAATTGGACACAATTGGACATCATTGAATATCACTGGACATCACTGGAAATCACTGGACATCATTAGAAATCATGAAGTCAGTGGTGGTTATACGACAGCAGCATCAGGGGATGATTATGATAATGTGACCTTATCTGCACCACTGACCTCAGCTGGTGCTGCTGATAACTGACACCTCTCTAACTCTGTATGTCATGGCTAACATTTATCAGTGATGAGGACGCAGATCATCCCTGAGGAAGGATGAGCGCTAGAATTACAGCTTAAGAAATTTAAAATAGAGCAGTTAAAAAAAAAATACAGAAAAACCCTGAGGTGATGGAGAATCCCATCTGGAACTTCACTGAAAATCAGACTTTTGAGCCTGCGGTTATTTTACAATGCAACTTTTATACAGTTATATACTGTATATATATATATATACACAATATACATATATATACAATGAGAGAGAGTGTGTGAGAGTGGGGGGGGGGGGGGGGGTCGTTTTTTTTTTCACAGATTTTTT